GTAACAAGTTAAGGGTTAGTAGTTAAGTTTGAGGTAGTTTGAAGGTGAAGATCACCTGATGTCTTTAGTTATTTTGTCAGTAAAGTAAGCGGTTAAATTAATTCAGGTTGCCTGTGTTTGGTGTTCAGATTCTCATAATGTTTCCATAGTCTACTTTTCTGTTGATGCTCGCTTTGAGGCACTTAGCGCGATGAATCACCAGCACAAAGGCAGATTTACTCAAGAAAATCATTAGGTTTAATGCCAAGCTTTTACAGAGGTCTGACTTTCACTGTTTTTTAACTGAGTTAGAGCTAAAAGGTTTTGTTGAGTTGTTGAACCCATTAGATCGACAGAACATACTCAAACAATTCCTAGTTCGTTCTTCTAAAATATGCTGCGTCCCTTGTGTTGTTTAGGTATTGAAATTGGTTAAAGAATGTTGATAGTGGAAAGCATGCACTTTGATGACACAACCTTCGACTTGGCTGATACGTTTAGGTTTTTGGATCAAATGTATGGCTTCAAGTCAGATGACCTGGTACTTGTTTACTCCACTACATTTATATAATACCTTTAGTTACTTATTTGGATTAATAATGTGAAATATAATCAACACTGAAATAAGACTTTAGTTACACCTGGAGTAACATTCACAAGCTACGCTGCAGTATACACAGTATCAAAGCTTGTAAATGTGCAGCTAGTTTTAATCACAAAAGCATTAATGCATAAATGATTATAATCAAAACATAATATATTATTCTGAAATGGACCAATGTGCATAATGAATTATTTTACATTTGGAACTTTAAGTATATGAGATGCTGCTTTTACTTGAGTAACATTTTGAATGCTGGACTTTTACATGTACCAGTGTATTCCTACACTCTGGTACTTTTACTTAAGTACAAGATCCTTGAATTTGGAAAGGCCTCCGTCCCTCTCTCATTGTGCCAGATCAGCGGGGCCTCGCGATGAATCTTTAATGACCGGTTCCAAAGGCTTAATGGCCTCTAATGTTCTGTAATGATCTTCCGTCAACGCCATGTGCGCGGCCTTAATGGATCCAATGCCGTGGAGACTTCTTTGCCTTGAACTTCAGAAATTCCTCCTCTTGGTGGAGCAGCAGCACACAACAGGAAGTGCGAAAAGCCATGAGCACAAGAAGGCTCCGGAGCTCCAGGGCGCAGCATGAGTTTCCCTCTCCGCCGATCGGCCTCAGGTAGGACCGGGGGAACGGTCTGAATTAAACAGATTTAGGAGATTTGACCCGTGCTGTTCTACATTTGCTTCAAAGATCTTTAAGGAAACTTGCTAAATTAATTCACAACTGATCTCTGTGTGTAAAAGCATTTGGGAACATGCTGTTATAGACGAGAAGAAGGGATACACTTTGTAGGTAATGAGGTCAACAGTAAGGACATCTCTAAAATAATGCCATAATGCCTTGGTGCTTTTGTGGATGTAACATAGATAGATAGAGCTCGTTTTGACTATAACAACTTTTAAAATATTATATGTAAAATAAAGGAAAATTGGTTTGATATCAGTCGATCATTTTCTAGTTAAAACTAGTATTTATTTTAAGTAAAATGTGTGTTTTTAACTCATTTAAAACTTAAAGCGCTGTCCGTGGTGCTGAAAGCAGAGTCGGACGCGCCCTTCTGCTGAGAGACTGCTTGACTGCAAACTAAATGTGTATGAGATACATCTACTCATTAACTACATCCATAATGCATGGTCTTGTTGTTCATGAGCAGTATACTTGGAACCTTAGCAGCCTTTGTAATAGACGGATCTTTATTTCAGGAACTGTAATCATAAACCTTTATCGGTGTCCTCCATACTCACAGGACAGATACATATTTTAGAGCTAAGCAGAAGTCTCAAATGGGAAGCATTAAATAAGCTGTTCAGTTTGGTTTACATTATTTTTACCAATATTCTTATTACAAGTTTCAGCCCTCTAGACTTATAATTGACTGAAAATGTATATCAGCTTGTAGGGCGGTTTCTTAAGTCGTTCATTTGGCCAAAATAGGATTTAAACCTTTTTACTTTTAAACTAAAATGTCCTTAAAAGTCAAAAAAAGTATAGCTATTCTAGCTCTTGAAAAGACAAACATGTGTAAACTAAAGCTGCAACGATTATCAACAGAAAAAAAAAAATTCCACACATTCGTTAAAGTATTTTCTGTAATCATACTAAACTGAAAACTGTTTGTCAGAATAAAACATTTAAAGACATCACTTTAGACTCGGATAAATTGGGATCTATGAATAAATGATACATCCAAAATCTGGAAAATAACATGCAGATTAATCGATATTAAAAAGTCGTTTTGCATCCCTGTTGTAAACACGTATGGTGCAGTGGTGGTTTGATGGTATTCTTTCTAAAAGGTGGTTTGCAAAGTGTTTAATTACATTACATTACATTTAACTTGTTAGATGCTTTTATCCAAAGCGACTTACATACATTCAGTACAGTGGACAATCCCCACAGGAGCAATTTGGGGTGAAGTGTCTTGACCAGGGACACAACGACATGCTGACTGCAGTGGGACTCGAACTTGCTACCCCCTGATTCGAAGTTCAGCACACTATTCACTGAGCCACAGCCTCCCATAATCTATTATGAAAACTGCTGATCCGCTTCTCATTATGCTGGCATCCAGAGTCACACACATAAGTGCTCTCTCTCTCTCTGGATATCTTCTATAAATGTTCTGTAGTAAATACCATCAGGATCTATTATTTAATTTGATTGTCTAAGTGCAATAATCTAAACAGACTTTTGTTTATGTGTGATTTATCGACGCAATCCATTTATTTAACAGAGTATTTTATAATTCCTGGAAACAACTCCCTTCATAATTATTTCTCTCTGTGTTGTTTGGCTGCTTATGTGTTTCCACTAATTAACTTATTGATTTTGGTGTTTTCTGAAACATTAAATTAGTTAATGTGGTGATTTAACGCCAAAGAGTGAGGATATGTTCCTCAGAGTCACATAATATCTGGTTGTGTTCCCTGCAGCGTCCATTGTTCTGTTACGTCTTGTTTGTTGGCTTTTGCTTTTAGGGACACGTGGTGTGGTTTTAAAAGCAAGGAGCTCATAAATGAAAGATGAATGCTTAGCTTTCAGTCATTTCATTACAGTGGATGTAAGCGTTTGCTCTTATATTTTGATGTTTCAGTTGACACCATAGACTTGTTATTCAATATTTCATGGCTCGAGTGTTGTCTCTCGGTGGAAGTGGGTTCATTTGAACTACTGTATACCACAAACTATATTTGTACATTTACAAGGTTCTTACCTAACCAAGAGGCCACAGGTGTTCTACTCCTTCAGTCAAGGGTAAAGACTCCCTTTCAATGACCAGGTCCTGATCCCAGTTTCTGTCAACAGTCCATCACTCTCTCCTCTACCCTCTGTCTTATTCTCACAGCCCCAGCTCCAGCTTACAGAGTTTTCCTCCTCTTCAGTCCTGTAATTTACTGCTCACCACATCCTCTTGCTGTCCAGCCATCGATTTTCACTACCTTTCTCCCTGGTGAACAACAGCAACAACAGCGGTCCTTGGCTCTGCCTGCTGCTCGGCGCCAGGTGCCACAGGTCGACCTCGGCCGTGAATCAGGCGGCTCTTTGTCCGCCGCCTCGTCTTCTTTGGACTTGCTGCTGCCATGCGCAGTTGCAGCTGTATCTGCCATTGACAGCTGTGCATCTGTTTCCCTGCGGGGGCTTTGCCTGCAGCCAGTCGACATGCATGGGTTGGCTGATTGCACATGTTCCTCCATACTGGTGGAAATGCAAAATGAACAGCTATAGCAAAAACAACATAACTCATCTGTACTGCTGTCTCCGTTATTCACCTCGTTCTTCTTGCACGCTGCAGCCTTTCAGCAGTGGGGAACCTCTGCACCAAAATAAGATGAGAGCCCCTCCTTTCTCCGCTGTCTCTCTCAAACACACTTCCACACACACACTTCCACACACACACACACACACACACACACACACACACACACTTCCACACACACACACACACACACACACACACACACACACACACACACACACACACACACACACACACACACACAGCCTCTCTCTCTTCCAACAGTGTGTCTTCACTTACCTTTCTCTATCTTTACTCCTCATATTTTATGTATTCCTGTCTGCTCATACTGTATACCCAATTTCTTCTGTCTCCAGCCCTTACTCCCTCTCCCACTCACATGCTCCCTATTAATCTTTCACCTGACTTTATTTTTTTCCTTCATTCATCTTTCTCTTTTCCCAATCCATTTGTAGTTTCTCCCTCCCTCTTACACACTCACTCAAAAACTCATTTCATATTCTCCCTTACACCCCACCCCCTCTGTTTTCCCATTATTTCTCCTTTCATTAATTCACCTGTCTCTCTTATTTCACTGTATATTTTTTCTCCCTCCCCTCATTTGTCTCCCCCCTCTCAATCTATCTGCCTATCACACATCACTATAACATGTACATATCATGCCACGTGTGGTTCAGGGCTACAGGTGCCCTATGAGGGAGAGCTGCCCCTCACCACTCGACCCGCTCCCCTCACACACACACACAACGTACACACATGCACACCCCGACCTCCTCTACCCCCTCCTCGTTCTTCTTCATCTTCCTCCTCGCGGCGGGCAGGGCTGCAGCAGTCTTATGAACAGCACGGCTGCATCATGAACCGTTTCCCACTGATCCGGCCCCGAGCTGTTTCACTGACAAACATCCCGGTTGCTGCATTTCTGTCACGGATAGCGTCGACGAGCGGAGCATTGCCGGGGGAGAGCAGAGGGAGAGCAGCAGCAGAGGAAGAGGAGGCAGCAGCTGCAGTGAGCACCACAACACCCGCCTGTGTCCTTCGCACCAGTTCATAAGCTTGTTGATTCGCCACTTGCACCCGGACTTGATGCACCCTCTTCATCCTCCTCTCTCGGGACAGCCAGAAGAAGAATCACCTGAGGGGGGGATATCACTGAGACAGCTTTTGCCACTCGGACCCCTTGGGGGAGAAGGGGAGAGGGGGGAGGTGAGCCTCATCACTGGCAGATTTCTGGATTTGTTTAAGAACTTCCATGAAGCGCCAGGACGCAGCGATGGAGGATTCTGGACGCGTTTTAACATCAAGGGACTGCAGCGGCCGGTGTGCGATGCGAACTGAGCCGTGGGTGGTGTAGACCCCCTTTTTCCGAGCACAACACACACACCCGTCGCTTTATCTATATCTTCCAAACGGGACGCGCAGCCTTGTTTCACTCCACCCGGGGAACATGTCCCGGGCAGCGGCTATAGCGAGCTCCCTGATCCGCCAGAAGCGCCAGGCGAGGGAGAAGGCGAATGCGTGCCGTGGCAGCCCGAGCAACAGCAAAGGAACCAGCGAGAAGCCGAGCAAGCTGAATGTGTTCTCCCGTGTCAAATTGTTTGGATCGAGGAAGAAACGGAAGAGAAAGCGACCACCAGGTGTGAGAGTGATGGAGAGAAAAGTGGGACCTCAACCATCTTCATCATCAGCAGCAGCTTCATTACCATCATCACTTCCAGCCAACACCATTTTCTCTCATCACTGAGGCTGGTCCTTCATCATTCATCACCCTCCTCGTAGCAGTAGCTCAGGAATGTATCATGTAGCATGCCAACACAAACATCACTTGTGAATAACTTTGTGTACTGCAGCAAAGTGTTGTAGCAGCATGTGTCTGTGGTAGCTAATGTTCTCATTAAAGCAGGATCCGTATCCAAGCAGAGCTCCAGCTCCTCCTGTTCTCACATTTCATCTGTCAATTATTTTTTGATATGTATGTAGGCTACGCCACAGTGTACAGGGGTCAAGGATCGATATTGGGCCCTGGAGGCCCTGTGATAGGAAAAATAAACAGCTTCTCCTCCTCTGATACTTCCGGCTTCTTGGTGATTGCTGGATTTGATACATGTGATCACATGGCAGTGATATGGAGTAAACACAGTTAATGCTTCTGTCTCTTCTGCTCCTCTCAGAGCCCCAGCTAAAGGGCATAGTGACCAGGCTCTCCTGCAGCCAGGGCTTCCAGCTGCAGATGCAGCCTGATGGCATCATCGATGGAACAAAGGATGAAGACAGCACCTACGGTAGGTCGAAATCTGACCTTTGCGTGACAGAAAAAACATGTCCATCCACTGATTAACTTTTTTCATCATCTGTTTCAAAATCAACCTCGGCTACAATTTCCATTATTTTCTTTAAAGCTTCATCTTTTTTAATCTTTCCCTTTCCCTGTTTTCGCTATAAAACGTCAGAAAACAGTGAATAATGGCAATCACTATTCCCAGAATCTAAGGTGACATTTTCAAAATGCTTGTTTTTATCTGAGCAACAGTCCAAACCCCAAGGGTTGTACTAACATAAGATTCAAAGAAAAGCACCAATCATTACATTTCAAAAACAGTCTGTCAATCTATTAAGAAACTAACTGTTTCCAGCTTTCGAGAGCTTAAAGGGGACCTATCATGCAAAATGCACTTTTGTACGTCTTTTATACATGAATATGTGTCCCCGGTGTTTCAGGGAACTCACCAAGTGTCAGAAAACACAACCCTCTCTATTTTCCTCCATACCCAAATCTCTAAAAAAGGGGCTGCAACGGATCTGATACAGACTGATCCAGATTTGAACACTTCTATGACGTCACAGAAGTGGCGCTACGGCTATTGGGCCAACTCTCCACCTATCAGGGGAATGTGGGGTTGGGCCACGGCCGGCCATTGCCGCTCGAAAGCGCTGGAGACGCTGTAGTACATATGCCAGGCCTGTAAGTGGCGCTGTAGTCTGCCACAAAAGCAGCGAAGAAGACTTCCCGCCCATAGTTACCATGGTTACCCTTCTGTTTATTATCCGCTGTGGCTTTCTTTCTCCCTCCCTGAGGCAAGCGTTTGCTCCCGCTGCTTTAATTCAATGCAATCCCTCCCCGTCGAGGCAAGCACTGTAATTCTCTCCGGTTAGTCCACCAGCAGATGACAAACACCCACCTCTCCGCCTCTTCCAAGGAACGAGGGGACCGTGCGGCAGAGTTTCAGTTTCAGTTTCTTTCGCCGGTCAAGATGTCCGTTAAAGTTTAAATCTTCCGGACAAAATTAGAAAAGTGCCGGTCAAAGGTCTTCTTTGTTATTTATTGAGCTTTAAAACAAATGAATAACGACTCTATAGGCCTATAATAATATAATAAAACCATAGACTGTATATATAAATAAAACACGGAGGACGGAGATCTTTTTTTCTCCCCCTCTTGACTTGATCAGAGCACGGCTTCCCTCTCCTGCAGGGGGTCAGCTGCAGCTCACAGAGATCAGCCCCGTAGACAGCAAACAGCACATAGAGCGAAATGAGGCATGGCTAAAATGCATGATCTGTTTGGTATTTTGAAAACAGAAACGTATAAATATACCTTATATAGGTATGGCCCTACAATATATCATTTAAATATAGCATGATAGGTCCACTTTAAGTTTCCATACATGGGAAGATAAATGTGTGTACTTCAAAGCTGGTAAAAATCCATGCTAACTTCCTGTAGCTGTAACGACAAATACATTTTACAATTAGCTACAGCACGGGGTTGAATTATATCTTGTAAAATTGCTCCACTTCAAAGTAATGTAGACTCAAACCACGCTTTCTTTTGATCTCAATATTCACTACGAGTTCAAAATACAACAGAATATCGCAACATATTGAAGGTTCAATATCTAGCAAGATCTGGTTTAGTTTAATTCCCATATATATGCAATTTGGTGTACCAATACCAGTTTAAATCCAATTTAGTGATAGACTTCTGAAAATCTGTCAGATGTGGGAATTTAATCTCAGGCAGTCACTCAGCAACATGTCAAGTGTTCATTTAATTAGGAAACTGGTGGCTGCTTTTTCTTCAAATGTCAGTTTTTATCTACACTTTCTGTGTGAAATGTTCCCTGGCTCGAGCAATCCGTTAAATCTCCACATATTCAACAGGATACACATTGCAAAACCTATTTTCTCTCACTGGCTCTATCTCTTTTTCACACACACAAACACACACACACAGGCTACATTGTGTGATTGATACGGCTAATTGAATCTTGCTGTTGTGGTTCTGACAGCAATCACTCTCCTTCCCGTGCACAGTTGGAGTTGCCAGCTGCAAACATCATGCATTAATCTCTGCTGCTTCTCAGGCCACCCACTGTTGAATGCACAAAGGAACAGACACGGCAACAAACGCAGCGTCTTCTTTAATTAGATGATTACATGGGGTACACATGATATAAACGCCCACCCACGTAAAATCAGTCGCCTGTGACTGAATTTCAATGGATAATCCATGTAATCCACATCTCCATATAACTGCAGTCATTATAAAAGAACATGGTTGGCTAAATGGATTGTAATTAAACAAGAGCATGGCTCATCAAATTGCCCGGAATAATTAAGTCCCCGCTAAAGAGCGACTGTAGAAAATATAAATAACTTTTTCACTTGTGCCAACTGAATGTACCAGAGCGAAGAGAACAACAAACAAGATGGATAGTTTCAGTTATTTGATGTAACTCTCCCGATGCACCCACACATGTATAGATGAATAGGCTTTCAATCTCTACTTATTCTGGTGTCACTGTAGATACTTTATCAGACATGCCTGACAATTAGGGCTGGGCAATATTGATATTTACCCTCATTTGACATATTTGTTGTAGTTTGTGTGCCATATTTTCAACAATGCCAATCAGAGTAGAATAGATTTTTTAAAGAGACAGGCACTAAAACTACGCATTTCAGACAGCGGGTGAATACAGGCATATTTAGACAGACAGTATGAGAAAAGCAATGCGTTTTTTTGAATGTTAAACCATGGAAACGTCTTATATTAGGAATGCAAAATACAATTATGACCCGGAAAATGAGCATGATATGTCACCTTTAAATAATTATATAAATCATACAATAAATGTCTTCAAGTATTTTTCAAACAAACCGAGCCATTTCAAGGCATCATCTTTGGATAAAGGGATCAATAGAAAACATATTTGACTGATTGAGTAAGCTCCAGCATTAATATTTGCATTACTAATATCTAATATAATATCTGTAGCTTTACATATAAAACATGCGTTGCAAACTCTGAATTGCTACCTTTTTCGCCAATTCTAACCCTTTTTCTCCTACTCTTAATGACCGCGGGTAAATCATTAGTGGAAGCCAGCGTCTGTAGCACTTGACTGACCTTGTGAAATAACTTCTCTGTTGCAAAATGGAGGTGTCAACATACCAGATGCTACATTGATATTGATGAGGATTTTCTCTCTGTTTCCCTCTGTGTGAGTGTGTGTTTGTTTGCTGCGTGTGTGTGTGTGTGCATTTGTGTGGGTTTGTTTGTGCATTCGTAGCTGTGTTCAACCTGATCCCGGTGGGGCTTCGTGTCGTGGCCATCCAGGGCGTGCAGATCAAACTCTATCTGGCGATGAACAACGAAGGCTTTCTCTACACCTCTGTACGTCAGCACACACACACACTCACAGCATAATCATCATCATCATAAGAAACTATAAAGGGACTCAAATATTTCCTTTGGGTTGAGTATAACAGCAGCAGTTTCATTTTGACTAGTCTGATTATCGTCCTATAATCACACCAATCCATTCACTACAGTGTTGTCTTGTGACTAAGATGCCACTGGGTGCTATAATCCAGCATCTGAGCCACGCTTATCTATCCACTGATATCAGGCTTCACAGGATTGATGTCAGATCATCCTCCAGCCTCCTGTTTATCGCCCTACAGTCATTCTCTGCTAGGAAGCTCGCTTTTTATCCATTTACACATCGATCTGAAATGTGTTTTTATGCCTTTCCAGCTAGACTTACACATACACTCCCGCTGTGCATGTAGTACATTAAGCACCTCACTTTAGCTCATGGGCAGGGATGGTGGGCGGTGCAGATGCAATAAAACAAAAATAATCAACAAAAACAATACGCACTTTCAGCAATCTAAGGAAATCTGCGAGACTAAGAGATGAAAACTAACAGAGAGGAAATAGAAAAATGGCCCACACGTCAAAGTAATAAAAGCCGTGCTGCTACGCCTGTGCAGGCACGTGCAACACCACCACAATATCTGACCATCGTGTCCAGTCCTGCATGCTCTCCGTCACAATCAATAGTAGCATCTTATCACCTTATATTAAAATACACAAACACAAAATATGAATAGATAAATCTATTCTCCTTTTCATATCAAAGCTATTTGAATATCCTACACACACCAAACTTAGTTCAATTAAAAGGGATGACGGAGAGATCCTTTCCGTATCTTTCCGTTTCCCCCGGCAACGTGAGCTCCATCTTTCTCTCAGTGGGCTGGTTGGTATTCAAGGGAGTAGCCAGTTGCTATGGCGATGCAGGAATAAGAAAATGCAAATGTCAGCTGTCCTAAGTTGGTGCAGTTTGTTCTGAGACACGGCCGAGATAATGATTCAAACAGTGGAGCACATGATGGATGAACACACTGATGGCAATATGAATGTGATGATTTAACTGTTTTTAATAGAGTTGTCATTATAGACTCATAGCCTCTGTGACTCACTCTAATAATAATAATAAATAACACCCGACCTCTCCATGTTTACTCACTCTCCTCATTCTTCCACTATTTCTTCTAATATCTGTCACGCCTTCCCCCTCAGGAACATTTTACCCCGGAGTGTAAGTTCAAGGAGTCGGTGTTTGAGAACTACTACGTCACCTACTCCTCCATGCTGTACCGGCAGCAGGCCTCAGGTCGAGCCTGGTACCTCGGACTCAACAAGGAGGGGGGGATCATGAAGGGGAACCACGTCAAGAAGAACAAGGCCGCTGCACACTTTATACCGAAACCACTCAAAGGTAAGGCTAGTAGGGGAGTGAACTGCACAACGTTTAAACAAGCAGGCACAGACTTAAGTTAAAGGGGCCCTATTATGCTCATGTTCAGGTTAATGATAGTATTCTGTGTCTCTACTGTGACATGTTTACATGCGTTAATGTTCAAAAAGCTCTTTATTTTTCTCATACTGCCTGTGCTGCAGCACCTCTTTTTCCCCTCGGTCTGAAACCAGAGCCCAGTCTGCTCTGATTGGTTAGCTGGCCGGCTCTGTTGTGATTGGTCAGCCATTAGAGATGTCCCGCTCCTTAGCCTATCACGTACAATGTGTTGGAGCGCTAGCCAATAGAAACGCTGGTGTTACTTAGTCATGTCACTAAGTTAAGGAAGTAAACAAAGGACTACAATGGGGGCGTTTCAGGCAGGGGTTAGCCTTTGCAGACCATTTACATGCACAAAAACCTATACAAAAAACAAATAGAAAACCCTAATAAGCAAAATAGAGCTTTGAACTCAAGTTGACATTTTGAAACAATTTTATATACTTTTTAAGCACCAGAAAACTTGGTCTCAAAAGAATGTCTCTAACTTTAAAGTGGCAATAGACCATTTTTACTTTAACTTATTATGAAGTATATTGTTGACTTCACATTGTAATAGAGAAAAATGACACCATCAGCATTAAAATCACCTACATTGGTTCCCAATAAGTCTGGCTTTCATTCGGCCTTTCTGTATGCTCCTGGTAAAAATATTTATGGCACAATGGAAGTGTATAAGCCATTGCGCAACCAAACAGGCAGAGAATAGAGCCTTATTTTAGCGGCAAGCTATAAGTAGCTATCCCACAGTGGAAGAGCCAAAGTAACTGTGGAAAACAAAATGCTGTGTGTCCTGTCACTGTTTTGAGTTGCTAAGCTCAAAAGAAAACGGAAAGCAATCAGCTTGTCTTTGCAAAAGCAGCAACAATATCACTTGTAAACATCCCTAATTATTGTTTAGCATTCAACAGTAAATCTGCTTCATAAGGGCTCTGCAGGGCTGCTTGGATCAGATTTGATTGACAGGGGTGTCTTCCTATTCCCAAGGTGACAAGACTCTAAAATAGATTCAGATGGAGGTGCAGAATTATGCCTTATTTGTAAAGAATGCATTTTTCATGACCGTGACAGCTTACTTCTTAAAACTCAAACTATCATATGAAAAATGTCTTGCTTCAATCATTTTAGTCCGTCACCAATCTGAACTCATCTTTTAAACATTTATACAAACAGATTCGATGTGTTGTTTGCCCAAAGTGAGACTTTTCTTTTACAGACTGGGGTGATGGCACATCATGATCCAATGCAAAAAAAAGTTCAAATTAAAACGCAAATACACAGTGTGGAAAGAGCAATGAAGAAAAACATAAAGGGAGGGAGACAAATAAAAGACTGGCTTCAATCAGTAGATTTATATTAATACAGTAGATCACATGCCTAAAAAAAGCTCTAAAAAACAGCTGTACACAATGTTCCCAACAGCAGACAGCAGGCAGACAAAGATGGCGACAAGCTGGTGAGAATATTGGATGATTTAGCAGCTAAATAGCCAGGTATCTTTCCAAGAGATAAGTGGAGAGCAAACCTAAAAGGAGAGCGAATATTGGACACAAACACGACTCCAAATGAATGCTAATGGGCCTCCGTACCTGCTGGGTGTGTAAATAAGCAGCTGTTTTCTAACAGGCTTGAAACTTTAAAGTTGATTTATGTTAATGATGTAAAACAGTTTGGTTCCGCTGCCTCAAGGAGGGCAAAAATAGCAACTGTGGGTTCAAGGAATATAATAATTGTTAAACACTAGATAATTGTTACTTATATTTGTATGGATCGATGCATTACAGCAATACAGGAATTCCCTTAGGTAGTCAATTCAGAACTTTTTCTACAACCAGAATCACTTTTGAATAAAGCAAAGATCTCTGTTTTCTGCCAGCACAGGAACTAGATGTACCCAACTGCTTGAACAAGGCGTTCACACCAAGAGTGATTCAGACCAACAATTTGATTAATAATTTAATTAATAATAATTTCGATGATTCCTCTCTCCCGTGTGTGTGTGTGTGTGTGTGTGTGTGTGTGTGTGTGTGTGTGTGTGTGTGTGTGTGTGTGCGCAGTGGCCATGTACAGGGAGCCCTCCCTCCATGACCTGACAGAACTCTCTCGGTCCGGCAGCGGCACACCAACCAAGAGTCGCAGCGCTTCGGCCATACTTAATGGCGGAGGGAAGTCGCCCAGCAACAACGACTTATCCTAGCCCCCCACCCTTCACACACACCCACAGACACGCACGCACACACACACAGATCTCAGGCCGACATGCCCACACATCAGGCTGGTGTGGGGTAGGAGGAGGCGAGGAGAAAATACGAAGGAGAACAGGAGTGTTATCTTCCACTTAACGGAGCCCACTGTGACTGACTGTGATGTAAATAAATCAAGGACAATCAATCCGTCTGCTGCTCCGGCCTGCAGGGGGACGAGAACCTTCCTTTGAATACCCTTCCCACTGTATCATACCCAGAGAGGACAAGGGAGGGAGATGGAGCAACGCAAGAGGGATAGAGAGAGTCAGTCAGTCACATAATTAGATAAACAGACTGTTACAGAGAACCAAAGAGTCCAAGTATTAACTAGGTGGTTGAAGGGAAAAGTGGTAAGATAGTTAGAGTGACACAGGAAGTATTTATCTATTCTACCATATGCTATGTTTACACAGAGCTCATGGGGTTAAGTCATATTTTTAAAAAGTGACAAACGTATTCCATGTTCACTTGTGAGGACTGATCCTTTGTTTGCATGCAGGCGCGCCCGTGTGTGTGCGTGTGTGAGTGGTTGAGCACACGCTGTGCTTGTAGTAGGAGTGTGTGGGCAAGCGAGTGTGTAAGCGTGCATGTGTCTGGGGGGTGGGTGGGTGGAGGTGGGGTGTACCTTTTTAAGATCTGTTGTATATCAGACAAACCTCCTGAGGGCTTTAACAGGTTAAAATAAGGTTGTTATATACAATAATACTCTAAATGCTTCCATGCTTACTTCTTACAAGCAATGCCGTTGTTTATCTTTCTGTTTGTTGTTGTCGTCCCCTTGCTGTTTGTTTGTTTGTTTGTTGTTGCATGGAAGCTTGTGGACCTCTGCTCAGTAGCAGCATGCTGAAGGTCAGTTTTTTTTTCTGGTCTTACGTGTTCCTGACCTAAGGAGAACACTAGTGAGCCAATAGTGTCATACCAGAACACTAGTGAACCAATGGGAGGGTGACAGAACACTACTGGACCAATAGTATTGCACCAGAACGTGAATGGACCAATGGTGTTGGACCAGAACCAGAACCACCTGGACCAATGGGAGCACAGATTCATTTACTATTTTTGTTCCTGCTGTGGACAAACTAGAAATGCACTAAATAAACTATTTCTAAAGAAGTTATTGTCTGATGTTGATTTATTTGTTCACCCATCTGCACTAGTGGGGATGTCATGCTTTAAAAGTATAATTTATCAATGAGATCAACTACATAGACTGGATTGAAAAAAAAGAAGAAAAGTGTCAAACACCAAAACTCACTTTTGTATATTTAACTCGACTGGCATATTGCCCATATTTTGTCATTCCGATGGAGGTGAATTGAATGTCATCCTTTTCTGGAAGAAATAGCCTTAGTAATGTTTGACAGTTAGGATTACTAAGGCTATTTCTTCCAGAAAAGGATGACAGTGTCTACTTTGACAGTGTCATAGGTTATCCAGAGTAACAGACACTATAATAATAGACACAGGTGCTGCTGTTTTCTCCACCTCCATTGTACAAGAAGGAAGCAGACATTCCAAAGAGGTATTTCAAATCCTGGGGAAATTAGATTACACTTTGCCTATGTGGTCTATCACAAGTGTTTCCTTTGTTTTACTCTGGTGAACAGACCCTTTTTATTTGTATTTGGCAATGCAACCGACTTCTTTCTCTCGTGTTATTTCAGTAGATCCAAGCAGATTTTCAGAGACTCTAATGTGTCACCGACGAAGTATACTGTATCAAAAAAAAATCTCCTTACTCACTTTGGTCGTTCAGTGTTGAAGCATGTTCAGACCCACCAAACTACTGTTAATGTAATCACTTCAAACAGAAAACATCAGTGTCTTCAATAATCCTTCAGATACAGCGGTTTTCTGTCATTGCATTCTGTAGGGATATTTTCGACTGGGTGGTCCAAACGATTCCATTAAATCAGAAGCGTCAACAATATTCATTAAAAGGACAGATCTTATTAAACGTGTTTCTGTAAAACAATCATTAAATCCTGCTTTGAACTGTATGTTTCACTCTTTCGAAACAAACATTTTCACTGCGGCTGTCCCGCTTCATTTCTACACGGGGGGGGGGGGACCCACCTGTATTAAAGGCACAGGCTTTCCCTGTTACTCTACTCAGTACTACATAATTAAATTAGAGTTTAATTAAATAAACGATACTTTAATAATGGGACCTATGGATATAGGCAATTACATATTTCTGTGAAGCATAAACACAACATCTATTATGGCTGTAATGAAACACTTGATATTATGGTGTGTTGTCATTTACAATGCATAGGAGGAGGGACATAAAGTAACAAATAAAGATCTAAACTAATGGTGGATGATGTGAAGAAGTCCCAACAATATATCAGAAAAAAGTCGATTTTAACGTTTCATTGTCAGTACAAAAATGTAAATTATATTAATTGTAAGTGGTATAAATGTATTTCGCCACTAGATGGCACAAGTTGTCATTGTGTTGTCGGTGTCAGTGAACTTATATGGGACAAAGCGCCAGACAGACACAAAGTAAAATAAATCCAGCAGACAGTTTCTTGATAAAGTGATCATTTACTCCAACATGTGTGTTTGTTCATATTGCTGTGATGAAATCAGACACAGGCATTTGTCCTTACTATTCTGAAGTTGGGTGCTAATTCTAATTTACAAAACATTTGTGATATCACAACAACATGATAAAGTGCTAAAGGCAAATATGAAAAATACACATACAATGGTTAGAAACCAATAGTTTCACATTGCAGTAATAAACATTTAGTCATTTGTTTCAGGAACAGTGTCATACTCAATATGCTTTCCTAATGGTTTAAATAAAACTTTTCTCTTACTAATAAAGATAACTTAAAGTAATAATTATAATAATTTCTTTAGGTTTGTTTTGTTTCACTTTACATTTACAAGTATCTTACAAAACAGGAATAACATCAGTGGAAGTTTTGCCTGTAACTGAACTCACAGTGTCGATGAACTACACTCTCCCTTTGTGATGTGTTTCTAATCACATTTTCTCTTCCTGCAGCCCTGTGCAAATGTAAACACACATGCAAACTCACACAAACATGTATCATGTTCATAGGGATCCACATTAACACTGTACTGGTATGAATAAAGTCCTATTTACAGTGGTTGAGACAGCTGCCAGTACTTGCAAATATTCCTCTTTTTCTTGAAAGAGAGAAGGGAAGATAGTGTCAGAGTCTGTCCTCTCCCCTCTTTCTTCTTCTTCTCCGTGCCATTTATCTCCATCCGTTTCTTCTTTTCCACATCCTCCTGTCACAACTCGGTTTTTCTCTCCATTAATCCATCTGTCGATTAATGTATGATGAGTCTAGGTCCCCTTCTTTGACTCCCACTCCTGGAAACCATGACACAGCACAAAGTCAGGAAAATTATCCAAAGTATTCAAAAGGAAATTTAAAACTTTTTCTTCAAGGGTGTCGAAGACAGACTCACACACACACACACACTCACTCACACCCTACCTTTGCTTTCTGCATGACGTTCCCCCTGGACGAGGCGTAAACAGTCGCAGGACGTTTACGAAGCTCAGTTGCGGCGTTGATCGGCACGCTCTCATTGTAAACCTTTTCAACCCTATTGCCCTGTGCCTGATCACACAAACACATATCACATTTTATTCATTATATGGAAAAGATTCAGATTTTAGGAAATAGTTATTTCACTTTCTTGGCCGAGAGGTGACTGGCCACAGGTCAAACAAAGTCTATAATATATATAATTCACTGTAAATACACAACTTGTTGATTTGTAACAATAAAACAAAGAACATATTCATTATTTGGCTTTTGAGATGCTGGTAAGCTAATTTTGCTGCTGGCTGTAGCTTCATATTTAGCATGTAGACATAAGGGTGGTGTCAATATTCTCATCTAGCTCTATTCAAGAATGGGAATAATCTTACACCCCAAAATGTCCAACTTTTCTATACTTTTAGTCATAAAAAAATCACTGATCGGACACATGTCTACGACATAACAGAATTGCAAGAATCTGGCATACACCAAATAACAGGGTAAATACAAATGATTAAAGAATGGAATTGGGTTTCTCTTCACGGTTAACAGTTTTCTAAACGATTGACAACGGACAGCATCACTGCTGTAAGAGCCGACCTTTGGGGTCATCTTGGGGGTCGTGGGCGGACTCATCGATCCTCTGGCCAGAGACTTATTCAGGTTTTCTTTCACCTCCGTCAGTTTGAGCTCCAGCTCCACCCTCTCTTCCTCTCTCTGTTTACACAGCGCCTCAAGCTTGGCTAACCGCTGTTCCACAGCTTGACCTGCACACACACACACAGATAAAAAAGCTCATGAGTTAGTACTGTTGCCAAGCTGAAGTTCTAACAGGCCGCATGTGTGATTTGTCTCTGACCTGTAACACTCTTCATCTCCTCCTTCATCTCCTTCTTCTCCCTGCGGAGGGCCACCAGCTCATTTCTGAGCTCTTCCTTTTGCTTCTCCAGCTCTTCTTTCTGAGTCAGGTAGCGCCTGGCGTCCTCCTCTGCACGCGTCTTCCCGTACCGCGCATAGTGGTTTACATCTAACAGAACACATGGCAGGATATTATTAAACAGAGCATGCTGGTGCTGATACACCATAACAAAACATTTTATTAAGCTGGTTAACTATTCATTTTTCAACACTATCATGTTTAGGAGAAGTAGATGTAACATTATCTATAATATTAAACAAAGGGAGACTCACTGGAAGCGTGCCTCTTGACGGCGGCCTGTTGTTCAGTTTTATCAGAGTCCCTGCTGGAGAATGAGGCATGGCGTCTCACGTTTACAATCCTGCTATCAACATCTTCCTGCTGTAGGACAAACACAAATAGATTTTTTAAATTACGTTTCCAGAACCTTTTATGTGTTTTTTTAAACAATAACTGCACAGCAAATGCCATAAATTAAGATTTATGTGTAACTTTCTCATGTTTTATTGGAAACTGAAGCCGAGAGGCAGATTAAGCTTCTCTATGTTTAATGATATTGCTTTTTATCATTCTTTCACATCATTTTTCCTCACCGCAACGCTTTCATAGACATCATCATATGTTCTGGAGCACGTGGAAGCACTGCTGGAGGAAGTAGCTGTGGTAGTGGCCCACCTGAGAGGAAAAAACAGATAAACACAGATGTTTTTCAGCATTAAAAGGTCACCTATTATGCAAAATCCACTTTTTCATGTCTGTTATACATAAACATGTGTCCCCTCTGTGTAAAGAAATTTCTGTATATTCTGTAGGAAGTGACTCACAAGAAGGAGTTTCTAGCCGCGTGCCGGATGTCGGTGAGTGTGTCCACGTCGATGTAGTCATAGTGCAGCTCCTCAGGGAGACTGGTGCTGCCGGTCTCCGCAAACAACACACCCAGCCAGCGGCCCAGGTCCTCTGAGCAGCTGGTCTGATGGACACACACACACAAAGATACTCAGTTTCCAGAAAACCTGTGTGTGTCTCCCTGTGCACAGGTTCACTTTCTGCCTCATCTGTGTCCATAATGATACGAATAGAAAACCCATCCATCTAGATTGTAGTACCTCCATAGATGCTAGTTCGATGCCCGCCTGCAGGATGCAGAAGGAGAAGGGATGTTTGGGGCCGAGGCTTCCTGTCAGCACCTCTGCACCTTTGAGCGGCACCACGATGACCGCAGGCCGCTGGTCCCCGGGGTCTTTCTGCAGGTACAGGTTCCCTCCTCGCACAACACACCAAAGCTCCTTCCAAGAGCCGCTCAGACACACACTGAGGAAGCCTGCAGAGAGAGAGGAGAGGGGGGGATGTGACATTGACAAAAAGATGGCACGCATGTTAAGTGGCTTCATCTTTCTAAATTATTAATATGATGTCTTTTGTTACTTGTCTGTGTTTGTCCTATAAACCTTTTTTTTCAGGATTTTAACTTGGCCCACTCCTGAGGGCGCATTGTATCTCATTAAGAATAAATAAAGGTAAAATAAATGTATTTGAGTTCTTCAAAAGAAAACAGTAAGGAGATATGAAATCATTTTACAGCGTTTTCAAGTGTTTTGTGTGCCTATCTCAGATTTGTTATTATCTGAATCAATTCGTTTTGAACCAAACTG